TCAGATACAGGTTTTCACAAAAACAAAAATCTTATACAACAGCATTTCAGCCTTTAGACTAGGGCTGCACGATAAATCGCATGCGATATTTAACGCGCATCTTGTCAGAAAGCCGGTTCTGCGCGATTTTTTGCGCAGCTCGTCAGTGAACAGCGGCTCTGTGTAGTTAATGCTGCTCAATGTGAAAGCACGCACGTGATGGAGATTTACCGCTGATTACAGAACCGGCTTTCTGACAAGATGCGCGTTAAATATCGCATGCGATTTATCGTGCAGCCCTAATTTGGACCTTTAATGATGTCTGTAGAATGGGATTTAAATAAATTTGAAATGGACTTACAGGTAAAGCATGCAATTTTCGGCTACATCGAAAAAGATGAGCATCTCAGTTAAATAAACAAAAGGATTGCATTCTAAAACCATTTCATTACACCACGTAAGCAAAGACTGTGTCTTAATATATATAATTAAGTTGTGTAAGTACAAAATATGACTGACGTCTCTCAGTCTTTAGAACATAGCCTGGTAAAAACGCCATTAAAATGAAATTTAACATTTGAATAAGTTCTGGGTCTCATTATTGGGATTATTGAATATATGTGGCATGCTGAATGACATTAATTTTTATATGCTTTTAAAAAAATATGCACTCTTTAAAATAAAAAAGAGTGAGAGAGCTTCTGAAAAGTGACAAATATTGCCCTTTCATGGAGAAGTTACATTTCTGACAGTTGTTTGTCATGCAACTATCCTGGATTTGATTTGCAAGCATCGTTATTCCTAGTTCAACATTTTCAGCCGTTAATCTGTGCAGTACAAAGCACCTTTTGTTTGCAAAGTCAAAACGGCTCAAAAAACATTCTCATTTCTGTCAGAAAAATTGCATTTATGCTTGTAGTTTTGAGAAGTGGTGGAATTGATGAAACTCTCAAATCTGTGGATTTGAGTTAAATGAGAAGCATATGGCTCAAAAGCCTTGTGAATAGACACAACTTAAATTGCCTTTGGGATTCGTTCCAGCCTCCGTCTCTTTGTTTACAGTCAGCTGACAGCAAATCCAAACACATTCTATGAGATTAGTCTCTTTAAATAATCTCTCATGGGATTGTGGGATTGCACAAATAATGCTTTGAACTTGAAATTCATTCATCATAGTCTGCAGCTTTGTGTGTTTTGCTCAGATGTCTCTGTCTTGTAGGGCGGCGGAATTGATGACACGAACCGGCTCAGTCGTAACACTCGAGGTGGCCAAACAGGGAGCCATTTACCACGGTCTGGCCACGCTCCTCAACCAGCCGTCCCCCATGATGCCCCGCGGTAAGTAACAGTATTCTGCTTAAAAAATATCAGCGGCTGCCACAAAGCGTGCTAGCGTGACTAATTCCTTAAAAAGGTGGAAATGTGGTGGATCTGGCACCCACAGCGTTCCCAGTTACACACCAAATGGTTCAAGAGTTGCGTTAAATATAAATGCTTTCGACATATGTCTGGTAATGTTTCTGATTTGGTGCATTGTGGGTGATTTCCCCCATTGCAGAGAGATGGGCACTTTCCCAGTGCTGAATTTAATCTAATTCAAGCCTCTTTTTCATCTCTGCAGCATCAGACCGTGGACGTGGAGACAAGGGAAAGATGAGACTGTAATCAATAATAATACACTAAAAAGAAATGGAAAGTGAATTTAGACTGTCCCAACTTAGTCTAATCTGTCTTTACCCTGTTTGTCCTGCAGGAGGAGCCCTCTCCACCTCATCCAGAGGCGTATCCGATCCCCACTCAGACATACCCAAGGGAATACTTCACCTTCCCAGCCTCCAAATCTCAGGACAGGATGGGCCCTGGGCAGCCCTGGCAAAACAACGAATTGGAGCCTCTCCCCCCTATGGATAACCACTCTAACAACAGCATGGCTATGCAGGTTAGCCATATTAGAATGCATATGAATGGTGCTGGTACCACAGTCGACTCAAAACACTGGCAGTACCACAGTATAGCTATAGTACTAGCACACTAACTGTACAGTTATTGCAGATTATTTCATGTCTATTTATTTATTAGTAAGATCATGTATAGTATCCTATGTTCGTATAATGTACTCTACCGTTTAAAAATTTGAGGTCAGTAAGATTTCTTTGAAAAAAATGAATGCTTGTATTCAGCAAGGATGCATTTAATTGATTAAAAGTGACAGTAAAGACCTTTATTATGTTACAGAAGATTTCTGTTTCATATAAATGATGTTCTTTTGAAGTTTCTATTCATCAAAGAATCTTGAAAACAAAATATACTGAAGACTGAAGTAATGGCTGCTGAAAATTCAGCTTAGCATCACAGGATTAATTTACATTTTAAGATATATTACCATAGAAAGCAGTTACTTTAAATTGTAATAATATTTGACAATATTACAGTTTTTACTGTATTTTTGATCAAGTAAATGCACCCTTTGTGAGCCTAAGATACTTCTTTTAAGAACATCACAAAATAAAAAAAATAATAAAAACTGCCTACCATAAGCTTTTTAAGGGCAGTGTTTTTCTCTTACTAATATGCTTTGCCAAAATGTCTATTTGATTCCAAGTTATGATCAGATTATCAGAGTACATTTTCTTTTAATTTAGTTTAATTTAATGTGAATTGTATAATACTTAAATTAAATTATATTAAGCATCACCAAGGACTGCATCCTTTAAATGTGATTTTCAAATGAAAAAAAAAAAGCTAACATTTTGTCATTTGAAATTCAAGAATTGATCATATTTATTTGTTTATTTATTTGTCTAGTTTTCAGTTTGGTTTATCTATTAAATTTTGGGCCTATTTTAAGCATAATTTTACAAGCTTTTTAAGGTTATGCTCAACAAACATTACAGATAATGTCACATTTTTGCATAAATATGTGTCTCACTGCTGTGTCATTGTGCCCTGCTAGCGGGTTGCTCGCTCTCAGGAGGAGTTGTGCGACATGCCGGGCGGGTACCCAGGTGAACACCTGCGCCAGGAAGACCTGATGCACCTGCAGCAGCAGCGTGAGGCCGAGTACCAGCGAGGCGGTGGCGAACACTGGAACCACCAGATGTCCTCCTCGGTGGAGTCCAGCACCTCCAGCCAAGAACACCTCAACTACTCGTCATCCTCTGGCTCCAGGATCCAAGGCAATCACAAGAGCGGCCCTGGCCGCTGGAAGACCCCGATAGCACCCCACTCCGGCCCCGTGGGCGCCTCCCAACCTTCCCGTTCAGATCTTCCACCTCCTCCTCCTCCTCCACCTGCGCACTACGACTACGAGCCGCAAACCGACATGCCGCTTCCTCCACCACCCTCCATTACGCAGCAGCAGGCAGCAGCCGCTGCGGCCACTGCCGACCGCAAGAAACGCGAGGAGCAACAGCGCTGGTATGAGAAGGAGAAGGCCAGGCTTGAAGAGGAACGAGAGAGAAAGAGAAGAGACCAGGAGCGGAAATTGGTGCAGATTCGCAACCCTCCCGGCCCAGTCATGCACAACAACCAGCATGGTCCGCTGCCGCCCGCCCCTCAGCACCAACAGATGCCCCATCCACAGCTTCCCATGCAGGTGCCCCAACCGTACCTTCCCCCGGTCCAGCTGCCCCAACCACCACAGCCACAACCCGCTCGACCCGACAAGCTATCCAGCCTTCCCCGCCAGCCACCACAGGACACAGTAATACGTGACCTCTTGCCCCAGCAGCAGCCACGCACCATTGAGAGACGTGACTTGCAATACATCACCATCAGCAAGGAGGAACTGTCGGCCAGTGACAGCCTGTCGCCTGACCCCTGGAAGAGGGACGCCCGTGAGAAACTGGAGAAGCAGCAACAGCTTCACATCGTGGACCTCCTGGACAAGGAGATCCAGGAGCTTCAGGCCAAACCCGAACGCACGGCCGAGGAGAATGACCGTCTGCGCAAACTCATGCTAGAGTGGCAGTTCCAGAAGAGACTGCAGGAGTCCAAGCAGAACGAGGAGGATGAGGAGGAGGAGGATGACGAAGATGTAGACACCACGCTAATTATGCAGAGACTGGAGGCTGAGAAGAGAGCACGGGTGAGCAGACATGGGAAGTGGAATAGCTAGATTAATGTGTGAATATAAACAGTTAAGGTCAACATGAAATCAAAACTGACCCCATTTACTAAATAGTTTATCCAAAAAAGTCTTTATATTTTTCATCAAAACACTGCTTAGTAAGCTATAGTAAAACATACAGTATTTGCTAATTGATGATTTCTGTAATGCGAGATTTAATGGTAATCAAATACACAGGGTTCCAGTGGTTCCAACAACAAAACATTTAAAATTATGATTTCCAGGCCTGGAAAATTCAGTGAAATGAATAACATCTTAAAAAGTCATCTTTATTGAATAGAAATTGCTCTAGTTATGCTCAGATCTAAAGTATTTTGTCAGGAAAAACTACTTTGTGAGTGCATTTGCTTATTTGGGAATCACAATCAATTGGAAAATAATGAAAATCATTGGTAAAAAAAAATTAGATACACAACATGTTCAAAAGTTCGGGGTCTGTGCGAATTTTTATTAATGTATTTATTTTTGTTTGGTTTTTGAAAAAGTCTTGTATGCTCTCTAAGGCTGCATTTATTTGATTGCTAAAAGCAGTAAAATAAAAAGTAAAAACAGTAATATTGTGAAATGTTATTACAATTCAAAATAACTATTTTCTATTGTAATGTATTTTCAAATATAATTTATTCCTGTGATGCAAAGCAGAATTTTCAGCATCATTACTCCAGTCTTCAGTGTCACATGATCCTTCAGAAATCATTCTAATATGCTGATTTGCTGCTCAAGAAACATTTATCATTATTATCAATGTTGAAAACAGTTATGGTGCTTATTATTTTTTAATATTTTTTTAGGATAATAGAAAGTTTTGAAGAACCACATTTCTTTGAAATATACATTTTTGTAGCATCATAAATGTCTTTACTGTCACTTTTGATCAATTTAATGCATCCTTTCTGAATAAAAGTATTAATTTCTTTAAAGATCTTACTGACCCCAAACTTTTAAACGTTAGAATACGTCAGGATTCATTTTGATATATAGCACCCACTTTTTTCAGTCAAATAAGCCATATCCCTATGGATACAATCAAGTAAAATGGGTTGTAATGCCTATCATGTTGACTTTTAAGTATTTTAAGTGTTAGCTTGATGAATGGTTTGGTAATGTACTTTTTCTCCATGCTTACACAGACGATTGAGCATTAATTTTGTTTTTCAATTGCTTTGGAAAGACTCAAAAGAGTCAGGAGATTTTCATAACAACTAGTCTTACTTGAGTACACTTGAATTTTCCCATTGCTGGAAAGATTGAATCATCTAAGTTAGTTGTAAACTTCTGCAGTGCTGTTTGAAGTCGAGTGCAGGTCTCTTTTTTTTTTTTTGTATGTTCGTAGACTTTAGCATTACATTTGAATCCGCAGTCAGCAGCAGGACAGACTGGTGATGGAACAACTTAACAACTAACCTGGGATTCGCTGTGTGATGCTTTAGTCTCCACTGTTGGAATGAATGTTTTGCCATGTGCTCCTGCAACATGCCTATGTCATTGCTTTTCCATGCTGCACTGCTGATATATATAATGCGCACTGATGGAGGGGAGGAGCAGGGCTTTCCGATGCCAAGCACTGGACCCGATTCCACTGCTTGCACCAGCATCAACCTGCTTCGTCCAGATCAGTACATCTCTCCTGATCTCATCTGCCATTTAAAATGAAATATTAATTTAACTTCTAAAAACAAATCAGCGATGGAAGCATTTCTGACTTGTAGTTACTGGCTAACCAACCACTTACAGTAGGATCAGAATCAGGATAATTTGAAATGTGCTAACAGTCTCTAACAAGACATGACCATATTTTGTTTACATGCAAGGCCTTTTCAGGCGCATATTAAGTCTCGTCTCTGAGCAGGGTGGAGCATTAAGACCATTGATTTTGCTAGTAACTAGGGCTGGGTGATACAAAAAATTTCAATACAATTTATTATTATTATTTTTAATAATCACATTTTATTTCTATAGCACATTTGTTAAAATCAAAACAAAGCACGGAAAAACACTCAGACAAAAAATATTGATAATGAAAACAGACATA